CGTCTGTTATAGATTAGCTTGTTGTAATAGCGTTAGAAAATTTGTATTAAATTTAACATATTTGATGTTTCACGTGTGTACCAAATCGATGATTCATTTTAATTTTTATGTTACACAGAAAAAAAGATTTTCTCTGCCGCTGTTAATCTTTGTTTGTTCTAATTGCTGCCGTAACCATAAATTTATAAACTACAGCGAAATGATTTGCTGTTGCTGCTATAATATATAGATATTATGGCTAAAACATTAGCTATGATATCTATATTTTAGTTGTTCATATATTTTACACCTGCCATTTAGTTATTGCAGTTTTTAACTACTTTCTTTTTTCTGTGTAATTTAACATAAGTTGAATATATAAAAGATGATACAGACTATGTAAAAAAATTATCACAAAAAAGGTAATCAATTTTCAATTAATATTCAGAAATTCTTATGTTTCAGAAAATTTTATTGAATCTGTTTTAATGTTGGATTCAGCAAAAATCGCTTAGATGGATAATTGTTACTTCGTATTATAATAATCCAAAAAAAACGAGTGTATCACCAACTAGAATTATTTTATTCATATTTCTGCTGCAAAATAAAATACAAGTCATTAAAGAGCGCTTGGAAATGGCATATTGCAATAACGCTGCACTCTCTTTCCGCTAATTTATATTAAAATGTAATTTAGCAATTTTCGTCCGTCGACTTTGAATGTTAACTAAAAATGCATTTTGCCAAAGAATAGTTTTTTAAATGTAAGCCTCCGGATTTTTTTAACTTGCTTTATATAAGTTAAAAATGACATTCGCGGACTAAAATACACATCCGCTCAAAAAATACATATGATAATCCAGAGCTCGGATTTAAAGTAAATTTTTAATTCCTTTTTATAGCTTTTTTCGCATCTCTCTTTGTATCGTACATTTATACGATTTTTATATTCTCCACGATTAGGCGCGAGACGATCATTGATTGAATAATCACATTTGTGCAAAAAGTGGCTAACAATTATTCGATCGCACGACCAGCTATGTCCTAAATTTTTCACAAAATGCGGTTAAATAAACATAACGTTGTTTACAGAAGTCGTAACCGAAAAAAAAAAACTATATTTGTAGTCGAGCCCCTCGTGCGTAACTACATGCAATCGTTACAACACATCGTTGGCTACGATAATTGGCTCCGCATGTCGAAATAGTAATTTTGCCATTCGATGTATCACATTCACGGAGCTACGTCGCGATACGTGGCACTGAAATAATACGTTAACGCGGCCGCGGGGAATCCCGCGCGTTTCAGAATCAATTACGAGCTCACGAATTGTGGCACGCTTTTATTTTCCGATTTTTTCCCTCCTCCTTCCCCCCCTCCCCTCCCCCTCTCTCTCTCGTTCTCTTCCTTCATCCCCTCTCTCTCTCTCTCTCTCTCTCTCTCTCTCTCTCTCTCTCTTTCTCTATTTATCTATTCCGTATGTCATCTCAAGCTGATGGAAAATATGAAGAGAAAAAGAGATAGAGAACGAAAGAGAAAAAAACATGCTCTAATACTATTTCTTCGAGGATAATTATCAGATCGTAAAGATGGCTTTGAATCTTCAAAAACCGCAGTATTTCGAAATTGCGGTTTCTTGAAGAAGCTAAACTTTATGATGAAAACGAGAAAGGTATAAGCGAAATGAAAGGGTTGCCGCTGCCGCGCAAAGTAACGCATTAAGTTCCGAATTGGATGGTCCGTCCTCCTCTTCGCAACAGCGCGGCCATTTTTCAGTGATAATACCGTGAGGGCCGTCCTTGCGATAAAATGCGACGAACAATCCGCGGTATCTTCTAACGCGAACAAATGGGGCAGATGCCACCCCGACCCGCCTCAGATAACGAGGGGATTGACGTGAATGACGTAAAGAAATATTGTTGCTTGTTTCTTTTATTGTTCACTTTATTTTCCCAATATCTTGCTAACTTTACGAAACTAAACTCTTATTTATTAGTATCACAAGATTAATAGTTCATTATTAATTGGATTGAAGAAAAAGAAAAAAATTAATAAAGGAATGTATTCTCTAAAACTTAGAAAGTGAATCTCTCTCTGAAGAGTGAAATCCTGCTGTTAAAGATTGAAAATTAAGCTACTTTTTTTCAAGACTCGCTCAATTTTTACTCTTTAAAGTGAGATTCCACTTCAAAGAATTTAAAGAGCAGATATGTGTTACATATTATACATTTATTATACATTTATATTATTAAATTTATAGTTAAGTTTTACTAGATGAACATCTGCGGCTATATTCCCTTTTTGTTTCGTGTGTATAAACTACTCAAAAGTAACGTAATGAGTAACGTAAGTTAATATCTGCTGGAAGTCTAGATACTATATAATTTGATATTAATTAAGACACATAGTTTTACTAACACATTTCAATCGTAAGCAATAGATCACAAAGTCAAACAAGAATGGATATGTTATAAGAGATTATATAAAAATGCAAGATTAAAAGTCACATAAAGATAAGAAAAAGTTTAAAGTTCACTATTACATACAGAACATAGCTCTCTCGTTTTAACCCTGACAATGAAAACGTGACCTATGAGGCGTATTTTTTTTCACTTCTACATAATCGAAAAATAAATCCGCGAACACCGAAGTTATATACAGCCTTCAATATTTGACTAAAAAATTCACCATGGAACGAATTCACTGATTTCAAACAAGAAAAAAACAATTTAACTGAAAAGAAAGTAATTTTTTGTTTTACCACACTTTATTATGATCGTCGGTGAGCAATCTCGTAATTTGAAAGAGCAAAAGGCAAATTTAAGAGAAAGAATGTAAGAGAGAAAAAACATTAAATATTACAAATTAAATTAATAGATATATATACATCAAATCATATTTTTTACAAAAAGCTTTTATATAAGCGAGAAGAAATTGGATTCTTTTGAAATTTTCATCAGGATCAGAAAATTCCTCGTCACTCGATCGCGCGAATCGCCCGCGCGAGCGAATCAACATCAAGCGAGCTCTCAACAACGCTCTTGTCTTTGGCCTTTTTCGGCGAGCACATGAAAATGCATGAATAGGTAGCCTTGGCCCGTGTGCCTTCGCCCGTGTGTCGGGTACCGTAGCCGTACTGGTTACCCTGGAAACGGTATCGATTTCAACCCTCAGCTATGCAGTAGGAAACCAGCACCAGCATCATGGGGGTCTCTTCACCCTGAGTTTCGACGAGGCGCACGGAGCCGGTTTCGACAACCCGATTACAAGGGCCTTGTCTCTCTCTCTCTTTCTCCTCCCCCACTTTCTTGTGACACCGCTTTCTCTCTTATCCTTCGAGGGTTTGTCCTAGGACCCATGAATGCTTTTCTGCCTCTGCCTCTTCTCCCCCCCCCCTCTTTGTCTCTATCCTCTCACTTTGTTTTTCTCTCTTCCTATCGATAGTCTCGATTGTCTCTGTTTCGCCAATTTACGAAACCGAATATGCACCTCTTGGCCTGAAAGTTATTATTAGCGCACCACAAACTGCAAATAGCCCCTCGATCGCCGTAGTAGATGATGGATTTGCGGATCTTCCTAATTACACGTGGATTGCATTATCGTGGCGCGAGAGTGTCGGTTCTATCAGAGTATAATTGGAATATTCAGTCGAGATTATCGATGAATCTGCGATTGTATGCGATGATAGCGCAGAGTGGCAATGATAATTATTTGAAGATTTAAAGTAAATACAGTTTAAATGAGATAATGATTTCTATCATTATATAATATTGAAAAAATCTGACAATTCAAAATGGATGAATTATCGAACATTGTCATTCAACCTAGACAATTTCATGTTTCATGCCATTAGGAATTTTTACTAATCTATCTACTTAAATCTATCGATATGTGTGTTACATATCGGTATGCATGTCGAAAAAACATGTTACATAAAAAAATTCAACAACTATTTGTTAAAAAAGCACATTGTGACATGATACTCGCAGAGTACGTTGTCAAGTACAAAATAAGTGATGATTCAGAGCGACTGTAATTTGCGAAATTGAGGTGTTATGGGGAACTTGGCAGTTCAAGAGAGATCTCTTGAGTAAGCGTCGCGACGTCGCGACGCGGTCGAAGGGATGACAATCCTAAATGCATAGAATATTTTTAAGGCCTGGGGCCTTGAGCTTAGTGAAAAATATTTCAATCGATTGTTTTTACTTGGCCAGCAACCATCGTCTACGTTTTTCCAATGTTTCCTCGGCGAGCAGATCCGACAAGTAAAAGCTTTCCGTTAAAACAAAAACTCACCCGAAAATTGTAGCACAAAGTTTTGTTATTCATTTTAAGGAATTATTCTCTGGAATTAAATTAGCGAAATATCTCGGCAATTAAGCCTAGTGGAAAAATTTCCATTAAGGAAAAATCTACTTGAGAGCCCTCGGAGACATCGTCCGTAAAATATTACGTCGTAATTCTGAGACGCCGTTTAAAATACGAAAAAAAAGAATCGTGTAAATTTCTCGATAAATTCGAAATGAGAATGTAAATATTCGTTCCAAAATTCTTAATAACTGTATGACGCATACATCGGATGCAAAAGGTTAACGTGCGATTGCATAATATAATTTTATTTCTATCGTAAACAAAATTACGTCCATTAAGAACGTTATACAACGTTCTGTCATTCGGTCGTACATTTCATACTTGTCGTATCCTTCAAAGAACATGAAATAAACGCATAAAACGCGCATTTTAACCCATTAAAGCGTGCACATGAAATAAAGCGCTCATTTGATACGCGTTATCGGTTACGTTACTGTTATGATGAATAAAACGCTCGTACGGAAAAGCATACAAACAAAGTGCTATAATTAAATTTTAGCATGTAAAAAGAGATGGCACATGTCTGCCGTTTAACGCATAAATTTTTAGATAGATTCTAATGCGTTAAAATAGCGCGGATATAAATAAATAACATCGAGCTCGTACATGCAAAACAGAATGGAGGAAAATAATTCAACCATATCATTGCTATGTATACGTGAATTATATATTAAAAATTACCATATTACATACCTTATATCACTTTTGAATACTTTTCGTTGGCAAACTGACTTCGTTGACAAGATTCGCCATCATTTCTCATTTAATGTTAATAATATTGATAATAATATACGTTAAAACACAGAATAATCCCGCGCTATTCGTGACATATGAATGTTAACTATCGGGACCATGAATTATTAATAGAGTGTAGAATTACAATACTAGCGTGCTAGTGCATCGGCTACAGCGCTGTCAATAATTTTCATTGTTCGTCCTTTTCTTCTTTCACCTCGTATAGACCGCAAACTTTGTTGGCCGGTACAGCTTTATCTGAAACAACGTCGTATTACCTTCAAGCTCTTTGTTGCAAAAATGGTACATGTCAAACGCGGGCAATAATCTAATGTTTTTCTATCGATTTTATATTGTCAACTTTTCGACTAACAATTCATATTATACATATAATTCGTTGCTCTTATATATACGACAATTATTTTCCATTACATGAAATAATTTTAATATTCATTTTTTTGTTAATATTACTTTGTGCATTTTTCAAAATTTAGTTCATGTCTCCGTAAGATAAAAGGTTCATTTATTCAACATACGACGGTATGCAAACTGGCAAATTCATCGATTTCCTTTCGCTCCACTAGTAGGATGTAACGGCGTCTCAGCTCACATTTAATATTTAAACGCGCTGCGAAGAAGAGTTACTCGAAGGCGACACAATGGCTGCAAATATATTATATCCTTCCCGTGAAATCATAACTATTCATCAATTTTTTATTAATTTAGAATCGCGTCACGTGAAAATTAAATCAAAGAGAAACAGAAAAAAGAATGTAAAAATAAGAAAAATTCAATCTTGAAAATTCATCTTGAAATCGATTCCTGATATCAAATATTGAAAATTTGAAAACCTCGTGAAATGGATTTGTGCAAAATCCTATTTTAATTCGTTTATCCCCCCTCCGTAAGGGACTCTTTTTATCATTTCCTTCTCAACGTCAATCACATGACTGTCAGTGAAATTTTTCGCTTAACTTGTGCTTTACGTCGCTTCACATCTCATTCAATCGATTCAAACGTCGGAAAAAGTTTCGCCACTTCCGCAAATTTGTTCGGAATTCCAGAGTTTTTTCACTTTTTACTCGTAAGAAGAAGCTACGTGATCAAGCGCCATGTTCGATCTACGTGATCTTCTCGATTCAGCAGTTGCTTCCTGGACCGATAGGTAAAACGACGCCCTAAAGTAACGTCTTAAAGACGGCTATTAGCTTATCAACGAATCAAGCTGATAGCGGAGCGTGTACAACCCCAAAAAATAGAATGTAAATATCCCAATGGGACTTGTGTAATCCCCTAGCTTCTTTGAGAAAACAGTTTTGATAACGCATTCTAGATAAACCTCGTTCCATCAATACATTAATTATTAATTGCTATCAAGGGCATTGTGTATCTGAGCCCCTACAACGCTTAACAAGAAAATCTCCCAAATTGTACAATTCTAATTTTAATGAAACTTTTTATATATGTAAGTTTTATACATAAATATGAATTTAGCGAAATCACCCCTTATAGTTAAAATTTTTAATTAATTTTTAACTTTTTTTGTAACATCTCAGAAGCTATTCAAGATATCAACAAATGTCTAATACAAAAATTTTATAACAAAATTACCTATATTTATTTACGCCAATAATATTTTTTTTAATTTGAGAAAATTAATAAATTTCGAAAAAATTATTTCTTTTCAAAATATTAATGTTAACATAAAGACGGTAATAGAAAAAGATTACATCAAGTAAATTAAATACTTTGCTAAACTTACCGATCATTTTGGGATAAGGTAGGTTAAGGTTGTTCATAATTCGGACGAACTCCTCCAGAGACTTGGACAGCCTGGGATTAAGAGCTTTCTCCTCGGCCACGGTGGTGACGGTTCTACCGTTGTAATCGTGTGCGGGGTATAGTCGGTAATTTCGCGGCAGTGTGAAGATCTTCTCGTGAACGGATTTGTACAGGATCGCGGCAGATCCGCCCTGCGCATAGGTGGTACAATAATTCGAGCGTACGGCAATTATGCCATAAAGCTATGAGACTTGTAATACACAATAAGTGAGAACAAAAAGCGTAATAAAACATAATTAATAAATAAAAATAAAGAATTAAAAATTTAATCAATATTAATACAATATCTTTTAAAATTGTGATGTGAATACACAACAAATCAGAAATAAAGGCCCTAAACAGTCAAGTTGGATCTTTAGTGCTTAAATAATTCCGTGCAAATTTATACATTTTCAATTCTGTAAATTACTAAAAATTTAATTTCGTATTAATTTGTTTAATAAAAAGTCATACAGTTGTTAAAAAAAAATTAATCTTATTAAAATATTTATAGGCACAGAGATATCATATTCTCAAGTGTTAAAATTGGTATTCATTGAAAATCAATAATTTAAATTTTAAATCAATGTCAGTCTTGTTTAGTTACTGTCTAACAATAAAGCAAAATTTAAAGTGAAGTTTGAAGTATGTCACGGATAAAAATAATGATTCCGATCGTTCTCATGTGTTAAAACGTCGTTTAAGCTGCGCTTTCGGGGGGAAGAAAAGGTCGAGACACGTTTATAAAATGCACCGACACGCGGTCGAGCACGATGATGGACGGCTATTCATCACGCGAAAGTTGCGGAGAAGAAGTCTTTCATATTCCCGATGATATATCGACGTTTATTTGCACTACGTGTGACACGTAGTGAAAATGTTATTGCACGCGTCCGTCGAACGTTTCAACGAGAATTCAGGATGCCACCGCGTCGTCCGCGTCTGTTCTAGGTCGGCATCGATCGTCGATTAGTTGTGACATTTCAAATAAACCAATCATTGATATCTGACAATTATATAGGCGACAAATTGCAAACGACACTTCTGGTCCGAAGAAAAGAGCCGCTTGTTTTTTTGATTAAACGATAGCAATGCACTGAAAGAGACGTAATGGCAACTTGCTGGCTGAAATTAATATCTACTTGGGTCAATGAACTCGGGAGTGCGGGTCGATCAATCTAGGAAGATTTTCATGAGTCACGTGCAATCTGTCTACATGGTGTGCTTAAAATTACCGCACTTTTTCACTTGGATTTTTTTTTAACAAATTTTAAGGGTTAATCTCTTCAAGGAAATTTCAATTAAACAACTTTTATTAAATTATAAATGAAATTTAAATTCATAACAATAAATCAAATTTAGATAATCCTATTTTTATTCGAAACGCATCTTAGTGCTTAATAATATTTATTAATTACTCGAATAATTTTATTTAACTTTAAAAATTTCAAAATTACAAATATTTATATAACTAAATCGCAAAGATAATTTAAGTCCATTTTAAAATTAATTTATAATAAAATTGATTAATGTATTAATATATTATGAATAAAAGAGTCATATTACTTGTTCATTTTTATTAAGGATGTATTAAATAGAGAATTACTATAAAAAAATTGAAATTAGAAACTTATACTTTTTATATAAAAATGAATGTTTTACATATGTGTGTGTGTGTGTGTGTGTGTGTGTGTGCGTGCGTGTGTGTGTGTGTGTGCGTGTGCGTGTGCGTGCGCGTGCGTGTGTGTGTGTGTGTGTGTGTGAAATAGTTCAATACAATAAGATGGATATTTATATATTATTTATATATTTATTGTATAATTTTATAAATAAATATACTGCTTATTGAAATAATTTTTTATCTAGATTCTAAATTGCTACAAAGCAATTCTAAATTGCTACAAATTTTTTGTATTATTTTCATACAAATGCAACACAGAAAAATCTGTAATTTTTCACAATTCTTTTATTTAAAAAATACGTGTAATATATTTAAGAAAGAGATACAAAACATCCTTAAAAAAATTTTTAAAGTTAAAAATCTGTAGATTAATTAATTCTAATTCTATGTAATTTGATCTTCATATGTCCAGTTAAAAATTGCAAGCAAAACGAGAGTACAAAAATGTAATAATATTAACGGCGTAGGAGATCGCATATTCTCCGCAAAAAAAGCGTGAATGCAGTTTCCTTGAGGACTGCTTTCAGCGCACATTTAACACTGGACATGGTCGCCTAATTGTGAGTTTCGTTTATTGGGCAGTTTTTATTTATAGCTAGATCTCGAGATAAATTAGCCAGAATGCAATGGCACGAGTTAATAGTACTAAATCAAGAGTCTAGAGAACCGTACTCAGTTTTTCTTTTACACGATATAAAAGTTCAGATTTTTCCCATTTCTTTTCGCATCTTCTTTCCTTTATGATCAAAGAAGATACTCATAACGAGGTAAACGGATTTTATATTAAATATTATTGCAAACATTCTCGCTCTTCGGAACCAGAAGATATAACACTGTTGTTTCCTTTAATCACACACATATGTACGATCGAAGACACGGATATCACGTGCAATAATCACGCGTATCCGCAAAGAGACACGACCTTTCTAGCGAGTTTCTGGACTGAGCTTACCTGAAAGTCAGTTCTGCCGCATCCTCGTATCAATAGCGCATCACCCGTGAACGCGATTGCCTGCTCATCGCAAACGTACGTGACGCAACCTGCACAGATATCAGATGGAATATTTACGATATCGCGCTTCACTGCACTTCGACCGCCATCCGGCAAATATCGTGTCATTTTTCAAGCCAAATATGTATTTATCTCTTCGCGGCGATTCGCTTCGTGCCGTAATCAGACGACACGATAAACTCGCGAGCTCTCACTCGTCGGCTCGTTCATTCTATTTGCGATATCGCATTCGGCAAAAAAGAAAAATAGGGAAGGTAAAAAAGAAAGAAATTGCGAATAGATATATTATGCGGCGTTCGCTCGAAAAATATTGGTATGCAATAGATAGGTGTATTCGACATAGAAAACATGATTCGTATCTCCCCAGATATAAAAAATGAATTAAGTTAGAATTAAGTGAGGTAATTGGAAGATTTTCTGCAAACGCGTGCGGTAACTTGTCAATAATAGAATTACGATAACTATTTTTCTAACAATTTTGTAAAGAGGTCAATGATCACGATTTTACAAAAAATAAATACAATCTGACATTAAAATTAAATTCCAACTAGAATTATTTGTGTTATTCGTATGTAACGTATGTATGTTTTACAAAATATTTACCGATTTTCCTTTCTCGCGAAATGTATGCGGTACATTTTCCGTGAAAGAGTTGAAATATCTAGGAATTTAATCAGCATCGTTGGAGTTTTACGATGTATAGGAATGAAGCTGATATCGAATATCTAACCCGCAGGTATTTAATGCACCCATTCGCGTATTCGACACAAAAAATCGAATCTATCGAGCGATAATCGAGATACATAGCTAAGTAGACTTTTAGGATTTTTCCCGAAACGATTGAGCCGCGACGAGTAGCGAATTCAGCACGATCGATAAGAATGACTGTATCCCTTTTTTCATCTCGCTTCGCCGTACAATAAACTTCAATAACGCAGTACATATATATGTACATGTTTCGAAGCTCTCTCTCTACTGAATATCATAAACATTTGAGATTAAATTAAAAATAAAAGTTGTTCATATCATCGCTAAAAATTAATAATTTTATAATTAGCAAATAGTAATTACAGAAAATTCTGTAAGTTTTTCTGAGTTTCTAAACTAAATATAATTACGGTTTTTATTCAATATGGAATAAATTATTTCAGTGACAGTTTAATTTAAAAATTAATTACAAACTTTAATATTAATAGAGGAGCAAAACAAAATGATACTCTATCACGTTTTTGCTAAAGTTCAGTAAAAAATTCAAGCTGATCGATTTAAGTTTATAATTTTCAATAGTGAAGATTAATTTCGGGACAGCCTGTATAAGAAAATTTACTTGATATATTTAAGTGAAATTTCCTCAATGATAAAAGAGGATATTAATATAAGAATACCTGTCTTGAAAAAACTGCAGAAAATTGCAATTGCGATATAACCTGGATAGAGAACAGCTCAAGTTAATCACTCCAGAGACTATATCTCATACGCAACACGCGTGTAAAATTCAAAAGATTGCAGCGCATACTTTTCTTCTTCTGAAGATAATAAAAAGGAAAAAAAAATATGAGAGGATAGACAATGCAGAAATATTAAGATAAAATTTTCATCTTTTTTAGAAAATTTGTACAACATAAGAATAATATGACAAAAAATTATACATAATAATATTAAATTATAATAGTATATAATATAAAATGAGAATAGAAAAATTTTTCTATAAAATTTATTATAAATAATGTATTTCAAAGTTTAAAATTTAAAATCGTAATAATTTCTTATATTTCTATTTCCTCTCTTTTTTAATAATCTACATGTCAGAAATTATTAAATTTATATTGTATTTTTAAATATAATATTTAACAAAATTTGCACGTGCTTGTCTTTCTAACAGAAGCCGCAATTGATCAGATCGATCTTGCATTCGAGATGTGAACGCGCGTTATATTTTCGATCTTTTCAATCTATGTATAAAATAGAGCCGCCTCTCATAAAAATATTTCGCCGTATTTTTTTTCGGCACCTCAATTAATAAAATAATAGATCGGGCGAACGCGCGATCGATCGCAAGAAATGCACCTCGATATCGCAGTGGTATACAGACATGTTCTGTAACATTCCTGCAACATTCATTGCCCCGAAACTTTCGTTACATCACTCGAAAGTCGTGTTTTGTATTCATCGCGCGAGTGCATTAAAAATCGCGTTAAACCAGATTGCGTCATGAAGATTTACAGAATATGTTGTTGTATACTGGTATTCGAAGGGAAAAGCTTGAAAAGAAACTTGTGGTTTTAATAGAATCTAAAGCAACTTTTTCTTTTAAATAAACCGAGACTTAAATAATTTTACTAAAAATGAACGTTAACAAGCAAAATCATTTTCGAAAATGATAAAGATAAGAAAAGAGAAAAATACAAAGGCATACTCATTTTTCACTCGTAGACTCAACAAGACAATATATCATATACATATATCGTAACGCGAAATAGCTCACAGAACATGTCGAGAAAACGCTGAAATCCACGTATGTATCAAATATGATACACTATGCACTTAGCCCCTTATAGGGCAGCGTTGTGCTCTATTTTACCACTCCATGTAACTGACACATAGGTGATGGTGGGATGCTAGCTAAATGGACAATGGTATAATATTTTACCGCACGAAAAAATAGGCAAAAGCAAAAGTTACATTCTCCGAGCGACAAAAAAATAGTTTTATATATTTCACCAGTAATATGTATAACTTTAATGGCATCAATTAAGCGCGTATCGATTTCTCCATTTTTTAAAGATTAATGAGTTGCAAAGTGGAACAGTATACAGGTGTATCGTGAAAATATTTAATACACCTAAAATTTAAAACACATTAAATAGAGAACATCTGAGTTATTAAAAATTAAGATAAAAACAAATAATAAATTAAAAATATGACTAATGAAGAAAATATATTAATTCGTAAAGGCTTACATCTTTTTAATCATATAATGTAATTTATAATGTGATGAACAAAAGATATAATAGACACAAGACTAAAAAAACTATCCATTATCTTTGTGTCATTTTTTATTCACCACATTATAAGCTACATCATATATGAAAACTAACTCATTTCGGAATTCAATTTTTCATATAATTAATGCGGGATCCTTCATAAATATTGAAAATTCTGATTGTATAATTTCCATACATGTTGATATATAATCCGATTTTAATAAATATCGATTTATCCTAAAATTCCATTGCATAAATACTCTCAACACTCTGCACAAGTTCTCCAGAGTACATTACTAACAAAACCAAATCTATGCGAAGAGAGAATGTTCCTAACCTTCAGTATGACCTGGAGTGGGCAATATTCTCAGTTTATGCCTGCCAAATTGAACTTGATCGTTTGGTTCTAGAAGTATGTCCGCCTTAGCACCGCTGCTACGCGATATCATAGACTTGCAACCAGGCAACAGGCATTTCAGTCGGCCCGTCCCAGTGATGTGGTCTGCGTGCATGTGGGTGTTCACTGCAACAATAAGAAAGATTATTGGGCATGTTCAAGTCGGTAAAGTAGCTAGGCTGCTCGCCAAGCAAATGAATATGATTGACTGTTACTTATAATCCAAGCAATCATATTCAATCGCTCGACGAACAAACTAGCCGCTTTATCCGGATTAAATGCGCCCATCGCCAAGCAAGACGCAGAGCAAAGACGCCATTGCTCTTAGCAACTTTGTTCGGCTTGAATGCGTTCATTGTTATCAAATGCATAATGATAAGCGCCGAGTCCGCGCGAAATCGCGATTATATGTTTTCATATTATGTTACATACAGGGCGTCGCTTAACGAAAAATAGGATATAATTATCCCAATGTAGAAATGATAGTTACGAAACTTTAACCTAAGATTTGATATCAATAATGCCAATATCGTTGTAAATTTGAATAATTTAAAAATGATTCTAAGGAATAGTAATTAATTTTTAAAGAGATTTATATAATACTGGCATTTAAAAATTTGTAGCGAACAGATGCTTCGATATTGATTAAAAAGTCTAAAATTAATGTTGAAAATTCTATATTGAAATAGTTTGTACATTATTTTTAAAATATTATGCATATATATAAATACTCGTGGATGTAATTCAATTTCAATAGATAATTAAATTATGTTAAATCTATTAATCTAATTAGCGGCCTCGCTCTCTTTGTATGACTGAGTTACGAATAATGCGCATAGTTTTATGGGAGTGGGGCGGCATTAATGGCGTTTGCATTATTGGAAAATGGAGAGAGGTGTATTATGGAAATGTCTGTTTGTTCGGGACAGAATTGGCACACGCAGAATTCCGCATAAACAAGTGCATACGTTCCACTTAGCCAAAACGATCTCTTGTAAAAACCACTTCGCGGTCTGATAATACAATAAGTAATAAGGCAATTCTATCAACCTTTTTCATCATGATATTATACGACGCCATAAACTTTGTCCCTTCTTGCCAAACCGAAAATCCTTTCGCCATTAAGGGTGCAAATTTCGGAAGGATTAATGCTGTCTACGCAAGTAGGGGCAGATGCTAATTTATCTTGACTCTGAAATTAATAATAATTAGAAATTAAAGTGCTTTAAAAAGGAAAGCAACACAAGGATCATAATATATGTATAAAATTGTTTACATTCTATGTTTAAATTTTGATATTGCATTTTAATATTTTAAAGATATTTACTATGTATTAAATCTATATTTAATAGCATACACAGTAATAAAAAAGTTTTGACTACAAAATTTTACGTATTTATCAAATCATCACCAAATAGCACGCTATTTGTCATTATTTTGCCATAAAAATAATTAAGTACACAACGTCAGTACAGTTTGCTAATAATGCATTATTAAAAAAAGAACAAATTCTGAAAGAAGGGGGAGGGAGGGAGGGAGGGAGAGAGAGAGAGAGAGAGAGAGAGAGAGAGAGAGAGAATTAATTACGTCTTATTAAATACTAAAAAGCACCAAAAGATTTTCATCGATTGATGAACTGAAGACCGCTTTGTTGGCTAGATGAGAGAATTTATCCATAAAAAAAATACACAGCCATCATTGAGTTCTTAAAGCACCTTAAAGCTTATTATATTAAAATAAAACTAAAATATAAAGTTGGCTATTTTGAATATTAATTATTTTTCATATTTATTATAGCATATATTTAAGATATAATTAATTCCAGAGTTTTTTATGAAATATATTAATGTTTAAAAAATACAAATTGTGATCAAATTCATATCTTATATATATTAAATTTTTTTCTGTTTAGAGATATTATTACAATATTTAAGTGTAACATATTTCACTATCTAGAGCTTTGCCAACATTTCAAAATTATTTTTTTTCTATTATTTATTATTATTGCTTCGATTAGCAGACATTTTGCGATATATAGTATATAATATACTCCAACAGTATTGTTGATTAGTCAAACTTTCAATCAAGGGTTAAACTTAATTAATTTTCATGCAAATCCACCTTCGTACGCGATAAGCACGATTTGTTGAAGTAATGCTCTCGTCGTGATGATACACTTGGGAATTATACATCGGCCGCGAAATCATATCGGCTCGTGCCGAAGTCGAAGTTCTTTATCGAAATTGGCGAAGTTCGACAATATGCCCGAGCGCACTCTCACCGGGTTTATAGTCCATGGGCGTGTTAACCCCCGGGACAATGGCGAAACTATGCGGAGTCCACGACCGTCCTTAACGGCGGCAGGATTGCATGCTAATTCATTACGAAGTTCGGCAAATATTGGTCGGTTAGTAGGATAGTTCGCGATATAACTCTGCGCCCTCAACTCGTAAATCACGGCACGGGGCATCGCGTAATTGCCGACAAGTACATTTCCGACGATATCGAGTAACGACGCCGGTAAGATAATACGTTTTGTTGTTAATTAGTGTACATAATTAATTAGTTATCGATTCGAGTGTTTTACGTGTTGAGTACGTCAATAAATGTTAGGTTTCCGCAACCGCAGAATAATTAATATTATGCAATGTTAATAATCGTACTTTATATTTTAAAACAACATCTCAATAACTCTTATCAACTATGCGTCGATCGATACAGTTGAGAAACGTTTCAGAATGTTCAGTTACATCAAAATTTGCGAAATAAAAAACCCAAAAAATTGGAAAAATTCTATTACACGTAACGTTATGGAAGTGGCTATCGATATTGATTTGGCACTTCACGAGTTGTAAAAGTTAAAAGGGCAATAAACGTCGATATGTAAAGCTTAACATCAGGTAGATATTTCTAGAAAGTTTCCCGAAATTTCATAGTTGAGGCAACGCTTTCGAATTTGAACCGATATTTCAAATCTAATAAGCTTTTTAATAGAACTCTTCTAAAATGATCAGTGTGTAATATGTTACATCATAAAAGTACAAGTCAAACATTAGAATAAAACATACGAGGATATTATTATAATATTTTCTAATATTTTTTTCAATTAAATATATACAATAGATTTTTTTAAACTTACGTGATAGAATCAACGTAAATAAGACACTTTTTTTTTCAAAGTAAACAGCGATTATAAATATTCACGTGGTACTATTTTAACGCGCTACATCACAAAAATTCAAATTTACTTACAAAATATATGCAGGTAAACTACACGTGTAATCGACCTAAAGTATAACACGCAGAGTACACAATTCTGACTAAATAATATCGAATGATACGAAAAACTGCATAGCACTTCCGCGCGTCGCTTTTTCGCTATTTTTCGCAAACCGCAATATTTATGGGTGAGATAATGATCTCGTTTGATAACTCACGGGCATATTTCAGCTTTAATCCCAGATCCTCGACGATTGTTTTGTCACGATCAGCCCATTCGATGACCGGATCAATTAAAATCGCTTCCTTATCGCTGATATCGGCTAGTAAATACGTGTACGTACTGGATACTGGATCGAAAAGCTGGAAAGATTTAAATAGTTATTCATTACTCTTCCTAACAATCATCCGGATTTAAAATTACATTATCCGTATTACGTTATAATATAAATGACATATTATTATCGTTTTAATGACAATATAATTCTTGTGACTATGTCTTTATAATTACATCATTACAAATAGCATTGATTAAATACGTGTACATTAAAACGCTAAAAAGAAATAAACGTAATAAGATAATTAGCGAAAAATGATCATCAATTAGACGTCGAATTAATGTCGAAATAGTCATATCAAAATCGATTCGATATCAATTCGATGAGTTATTTCTCGCTGGAAAGCATGTAAATGCCCCATCCATATGATATATTACATTATACACGATAAAAAATCGCAAAAAAAAAAAAGATAAAATTCCATATTTTTAAATAATATTTGCCGCACATGTATTTCGATTCTATATAAATACTACAAACTAAATAAAAATACGATAGATAAGATAATCAATTGCAGGCAACAAACAAATGTCCACATTTTGCAACGTCGTTTAACAACGATTTGTACATTTTGAATGCTGTCACATGTTTAATTGTACCGCACCGATTCTCTGATTCGTGTATATGCGGGAGGCAAGGGGACAGCAGAAAATATAATTCTTTGAGAATACACGAAACTATACAAAACTATATTTTCATGAAGCGTAAATGAAAAACAAAAATGCTTTTTTATATTTTTTTTCCCAATGTTAACGTGCAACATTCATTAATCCAGTCAGCACTGAATTGTTTTTGGGAATAATTCGAATATGTAATAATTTTTGTTTTTAGTCAGATTTCACCTGCGTTTTTATCCGATTCTGACTTGAAATCTACCGAAAAACGAAATGCGCTTTGCTTTGAGTATAAAACTAAATATGAACGAAAATACAACGCTTTTTGTCATCATTTCTTTATTCGACATGACCATTTATCCATATTCGCAAAAATGAATTTGAATTAAATTCATTTATTTGATAATTTTCAAGTAGGTAGTACATTTCCTCTAACTTCTAATATTAATGTTACATTTTGCTGTAATATAATCTTGTTGCGCAGAAACTAACAAGCGTAAAAATAATGATGAATATTTGCATTCCATATGTCAAGATAAACTCAAAACCGATTACCTTTCGACCGGTAAATCAAATTTTTGTTCAAACCATTTCAAACGTCTGTTGAAATTGTAAACGGTAAAAGCTTCATGGAAAAAAAATACGCATTCAGTTACGGTTGACCAGTACAATATAAAACATTATATGCAGAAACGAAGCAGATCAAAGAACACCCTGTGTTGAAACTATTGCGGTAAATAGTGCTGAGTGAAAAAGAATAAAAAAAAAAAGAGAGAATTTACTTAAAATATATTCGTTAGTATTATATAACATATGGAACGTATAATAAAATTATGAAGTTATGAAAAATTTCACATGACATTTTTGTTAGATAAAGTTTGTTTCATATTTGTGAAAAAAATCCTCTCTTGAGATATTTCAGTCAGCCGGAGGTACTTGCACTTTCTACATCAAAATTTTTGCAATCCGAGTAAATTCTCGGATGTAAAGTTCGTTCAAGGTTATTTCAAATATGTTTCAAATGCGAACGCGAATGTCAATGTTCTCCCTGACCGCGCTTTTCTACATTTTTCTCCAATCTCTTCTGTTATCCCTCGAAATCCAGATACGGAGTTGCTTTATTTTATATGCAGCCAACGCAGAGAAAAAGAAAGGTTCTACCTTTTTTAGTTATATTTTTCTATATCATACTAATATAATACTTTCTTTTTTCTGTTTCTTTCGAAATATCAAATATATATTCATTTTATTTAAAGCTCTACATAAAATGGATCTTAGACCTATTCCGAGATTTATTCCTCCAAAATACATTTTTATACTTTCCAATAATATTCTTCGTACTTTTTTTCTTTTTTTTCCAAAATTGTAATAAATTAAACATAAAAATTTTATTAAACAAGCTATTTGTAGATGTATTTAAATCAAAATTAAGATCGTTTTTCAAAATAATTTCAAGATTAAAGTAAAAAAAACTCATATATTAAAACTTATATTTTAAAGATTAAAAATTTTATTTAAAAAAAAGAATCAAGAATTTAAAATTTTGATTCTAATTAAGTAATTATTTTAAAATAAAATGACTTCAGTCAAACCTCTAAAAATTAATTTAATTACTTTAATACGTGATTAATTTATCAGATAGTGAATCAGATAATTTTTTAAAGACAGAATTATCGCTAATTAAGACATTAAAGTTCAGTCAAAGTCATTTTTATCTTTATATGAAAAGTGTGAGAAGAAGTAACTAAGGCTGTCACTATTCCAATTTTACATTTAAAATCATTTTAAATATGCTTGGTTTTTATCGACTGGAAGACGTGATTCGAATGAACTTGCAATTAGCTGATATGTCGGCTAATTATATCACATAGTTTAATTTAAAATATTCAATTTAAATTATTCAAAGAGAAATATCAAATCTTTTTGAATTATTTATTATAAAATCTCTCATACAAATTAAATATATAATTTCATACAAAAATTTTATTTAATGAATTATTATCAGCTAACTACTTATGTATAAAATTACCTGAATGATTGTCAGATCTTTTTAATTACACTTTTATATAAGATTGGTATATAAAATATATACGATTTCATAGGAAAATTATTTAAGAAATTCATTATCGGCTAAGTTTATACGAATTCATTCCCATGACCAGACGATCTTGAATGTATAATCGAACTACCTTAAAACACTGCTCGTCAGATGACGTTGCAGTCAAGGCAAACTCCTTGGACATGCGCCGGTTAGTAAACTTATCGAACTTATCCTTCGCGCGAACCTTACCTGACGAAACAGGAAATCCTTAGAAAAGGGCACTCGCTCCGTCAGAACGTCAATCATGGCGTGTTTTGCACGTGTCCCGTTTCTCCATAAAATTATTGGCGATGATACTTGGTAGAAATTACGGATCATAGCTCGCTTATATAAAGCCAATGTCACACTCCTCGTCTCGTCACGTAGCACTACGCATAACTACCGACGATAACGACACAAGCTTCTACTACTTCTGGCGTCCTCAATTTATGTCTTCTCGCTTTGATTCCGCAACATTGTGCAACACTTATCTTTTACCATCGTTTTAATCGAATCAGTTTGTCATATCACGTTGTATCACTCTCTGATTATTCAATTACGAGAAATCATTATTTCTATTGATGAGATAAATGTGAATTACATTTGTTATCGAGCGATATGCAGATGTTTATATCATGTGGTCACGCCTTTTCAAGACGACCGCTTGTCTTGAAAATTATATAATCCTTGATAGTCTTCTATCACCTTGAAAGCTATTTCCGGTTAACACTTATTAGCATTCTTTGAAAATACATAATTATGATAGATTTGGAAAATGTAGCCGATTTCAAAAAATAAAATATGAGAGCACTAATATAAAATAAATAAATTATATTTAGTCGATTTATTGCAATTTATTATTCGATATTAAAGATGTATTATGATAGTTACTTTTCATTTAATGAACACAAGTTAATACAAGCGTCATTTTATCCTTTTTGACATTCAGAGAAAACTAACTAAGATAGATGACTAAAATAGAATGACATTATGTCGACTTGTGTCATCAAATGGAAAGCACCCGATGTTCACCAATACTCATTGATGGATACACAAATTTGTCAAGAACCATTGGTGCGCTGCAAGCAGAATTATTTTTTATATTAAATATGAAAAGATAGAATAATAAATTATTATTTAAATTATATAATAT